TCCCGGAATAAAAGAACCAGCCTTAAGAAGCACAACCTGATTATGTAAAGAAATACGGATGTCAGCAGATCTTACAATAATTGATGGTCCTTTCAGACCTTTTCCCAAAGAAGAGCTCCAGAACAGAAAATAGAACTCTAGACTTGCAAACTGATAGGAAAACCAATTTAGGAACATGCATTTAGAGAAATATGCTTGATCAAAGGGGATCTGTGCAAGGCTGAAACTGACTTAATGCTGGCTTACTGAATCTCAATTGAGAAAAATTGAAATGCAATGAAAACGACCTTCTAAACCAACGCATCTGAATACCTTTGTAATCCCACCACTGCCACTACACTATTAAAATGCCTGGTGTATATATTGCTGGTCTTTCTGATAGCTCCCTCAGATAGAAAGCTACCATATATTATCCCGATACCTACAAAAGCCAAGGATTAATCAGATTGGATCACTGGCACGTGGGTTTCAGTTAATTCAGGAATTTTCACCAATATCGAGTGCTGCTCGAACACATTAAGCAACAATCAGAGCCGAGTTTCAATTAATGTTCCATCAACAGAAAGCTCTCTTGCAAGAGCTACTGTAAATATTTATGAGACGAACCATAAAAATGGTGGCAAGTATCAAGCAAGCAACGTAAAAATAAAATCAAACAAGAGTGTCTCATTTTCCAATACTAAGATTTAATGTATAGGCAGCAGATAATTGTTTTCATCCACAATTGCATCAACAAACGTTTTGGTCATTCAGGAAATCACACATGTTCATGTATCAGTTTTGTGTTTGGTTCAGCATGAGGGTTTCATTACAAATATGTAAATACTGTAAACAACAGCTTGAGGTTGGTTACTATCATATTAACATTGGTCTAATAATACAGTAGTGTCTCAAGATATGCTAATATAACATCCATTAATTTGTATTTTCACAATTCACTCTCTCTGATGGGGTCTTTGATGAAAGAAGAGCAGAATGGAATGGAACAGAGCCAGAGGCTGTGAAGTGCAACTTTCAAACTGGCTGCACAACAGACTAGCATCCTAAGAAACCTAGCGAGTTAAAAATCTCCCTGCCGCCTGCACAAGTTCTATCCCACTATCCAGCATCCACAGGTCAACCAGATCTTGTTTTCATATTATAATGAACATTTGATGTTCTGTGCTTTCAGCTTGGAGAGTGACAAGTTGGAGCCCACTTTAAAGGCTCATTGACAGTTTTATTGCCCTTTTTGTTATAGTGGAGTGTGCTAATCACAAAAGTAAACTGAGAAAGTGCAGGAATCAGCTGGATGCAGAGGAGGGATTCATGTTAATTTGATCTGTTTACAAGTTTGTGGTGACTGTTGTTTTAGTTGATCTATGCTTTTTTAATTAACTTAAAGTTAATAATTAAGTGTCCATTACCATATAAGGGAGGGTTACTAATGTCTTTTAACCACACAACATATAAACTATATACAATATATACTGTAGTACATTATAAACGGGTATTGGGATGGACATTTATATTTTTGAATTTGTCCAACAGTGATGGTTCTCTGCAAGAACCCTCACAAATACTGAGACCCTGCTGTACACTATATTCCAAAACTATTAAAATGTATGTTCTCCTGATGCACTCATCTTATTAGCTTAGATGAACCTCACTCTCTTTACAACTGGTAAACGCTAATCATCATAGAAGGCCAATAACATTCTCTACAATTCATTTTTTATTTAAACACCTTTTATTAGAGATGATTAATAATTAACTTCTACATGTATTTGTATTCAGTGGGTCTCTTCACTATTTGTTGTATTAGAGGCTCCTAATATTGTGCAATTATTTCTCTGGGATGCAATCTTACAAAGAAATGGAGCAAAATTCAGTATGTACAACTGGTGAATAATTTAAAATAGCCTTGTGGCATATTTAGTGTTTCAGATTTTTTTAATAGTCAGTGGCAGTAATGAAATGCAATTCAATTAACTATAGTATATTATCGAAATGTTTAACATTTGTTATCACATTTTGTTGGTATCTGAAGTGACATCCAAGTGATAATTATCCATTGGCAGACGAAATATGAAACATGCTGCTGTCAGGGAACAGGGTATATGTCCACATTCTTTAAAGGAAGAGATAAAAATTAACTACAGGTGCCATTGGGATATGATATCATATTTTATGTCATATACAATATTAATCTATTTTTATGATTTATTAACTGGTCAAATAAACAATTGACAATTACAAAGTTTTTTTAATTTATTTTAAAATATCTTAGAAAATGCTGTATACTACAGCATATACAGCATGAAAGAGCTTGATAAATTTTATTTGAGAGCAAGTCTCAGATGAAAGTCATGAGAGAGCTCCACAGCCTGGGGACGCTATAACAAAAGGCAGCCTCTCCCTTGGAGTACAAATGTACCAGACTGCCTTAGTGATGTTAACATCGGTTTTCTTACTATTGTACTTATTACGCAATTGTTTGGAAAACCTATACAATTTCCATTAAAATTACATTTACGACATGACTGTCACACAAAACTATTACTGAGCTGCTAAATATTTGATTAACCTTGGGAAAAGGGCACTAACTCATATTGAACAACACAGCTAGAAGACCCGATGTGAATTAAAGTTTTAAATCTAACATTTCTGTGTTGATATGGTAGAGAGCGGCTCCATTGTATGAAGTTCATACCTTGCAATTCCACATGATGTTGGAGGAAATGGCCCAGTTACAAACCA